AATCCATACATACACCAATTGTGTAAAGCACATTTGTACACTCATTGCCCTCATCATTCTCAAAACATTTGCTCTCCACCTAAACCTCTGGCATCAGCTCCTCAATTTTCCCCTCCCTCCCTCATGAACCCTTGATAATTTATAAATTATTATTTTGTCATATCTTGCATTGTCCAACATCTCCCTTCACCAATGTTTCTTATGTCTGTTCCCCCGGGAGGAGGTTATATGTAGATCCTTATAATGGGTTCCCCTTTTCCAACCCACCCTGCCTGCACTCTCCCAGTATCGCCACACACACCACTGGCCTTGAAGGGATCATTCGCCCTGGACTCCCTGTGTTCCCACTTCATCATGGCTTCCATGTACTTTAGTTACTCTACCAATAAGAGCAAGTTTCTGACATCTGCTTTGCTTTCTTATTGTCTTTTTAATGACCTTTAGCTTTCCTCATGTTGATGTTCTTGATGTCATCCCATGGTTCATCAGGCCTCCTAGCATTAATATTCAATGTGTCAAATCTATTCTTAAGATGTCTTCAAAATTCAAGTGAGATATCCTTAAAGTTGTATTTTGGCTGTTATGAATTTGTTTTCATTTTCTTTAACTTCAACTTGAATTTACATATGAGCAATTGATGATCTGCTTCAGTAGCCTGGCCTTGCTTTGGGTGCTGATATTGAGCTTCTCCATTGCCTCTGCCCACAGATGTAGCAAGTCTGATTTCTGTGTGTTCCTTCAGGAGATGGCCACCTGTACACTCGCTCTTCACTTGTTAAAAAGGTAGCAATGAAGAGATTACTGGTCTTGCAAAATTCTATCATGCAATCTCCAGCTTTGTTTCTCTCAAGGTCCTGTTTTCCAAGATCCCTTCCTTTCTCTATGATTTGGAACAGACGTGACGGCAGTGAGTTTGGTTTGATTCCTTCCCCTTGGGGTCCAACTTTTTCATTGTAATCACTAATAATTATCAGCACATCTTTAGTGAGTGTTTGATCAAGTTTAGACTAAAGAATTTGGTAGAATTCTTCAACACTAGGTTTAGGGGTTGGTTTTTAATTCTGAATAATAGTTGTGCTGATCTTACTCCCTTCTATGTATTAGATATATTTATCCTATCACAGGATATCTATCTTTGTGTGTTCATTTAATTTTTGACAACTTCCAATTTTCTTAGATTCAGATTTCATACATTTCAAGTGCCTATTATTAATAACTGTTTACAGCTGTTTCTTCTCATTTTGAGTTCCGACTCATCAGCAAATAAAGGTCCCCAAGCTTTACTCCTTCCATATCCTTATGGTTGATTCTACTTTGAGAAGGCAGCTCTTCTTCATTCATATTTTGAGTCCCTTATGACCCGAAGGGTTTGATTTCTGGCACTATATCTGACAGTATTTATCTGCTACTCATAAGGTTTTCAATATCTAACGTTTTGCTGCTATTTATAGATTTTTCAGTGGCTAATTCTTCTAAAGTGGAAAGCCTATTCCCTCTTTGCTGTCTCTTATTGTGTGAAGTTCTACTGAAACCTGTTCACCTTGGATAATCTTGCTGGTATTTTCAATATAGCATTGGAAATACGGCAAAACCACCCTTTCAACAGCCAAGCAACACACAAGCCATAAGAGTATGACAAACTGACCAACAAGTGATGCTGAAAATGCTTAGGGTGAGAGGAATCAGCCTCTAAAACTTGGAGATTTTAGAAAAACATTAAAAAAAATTGAAAGTCCCAAGATATCCTATACGGGAGTACAGTACTACAGGGAGAGAAATGCCTACAAAACTGAACTTTTAAAAACTAAGTAATAAAATTTAAACAGGAAAAATACCCCTGAACTTTGAAAATCCACTCTGGTTGAATGTTGGCTGCCATTGGGGGGAGCGGTGGGAGCAAAGTTTCCCCGGCTTTCCAGATACTGTTCCTTATTTTTGTACAGTGACACACACAAGGACCCTTTCCCACACACACTAACACTCCCAGGAATAGCAGAGCCTGCCACCTGTGAACAAGGAAGATCAATGCCACTGGGGGAGACACCTAAAGAGCCTTTCTCCATTACAGGAAGTTTCCTCACCTTGATCCTCCTGAGAAGGGCAGAAAGGCGTGACTATGTTGCGTGGAGCCTGGTGCAAACCGGAAAGGATCAAAAACCTACAGAGAGAGCAGCAGAGACAGAACAAATAGCGTCAAGATCTTCCTTCCAATTCATAAGGGGTACGACTTCCAGAGGTGGGAGGTTGAAGAGGTGTTGATATTAAGGAATCACTCCATCCCTGTTTCCCAGGGCCTCATACCTCTGGATTGGACCACACCTTTGGATTGTGATGAAGGGCGTGAATGTTCAGTAAGACTGTGATTCCTGTGGGGAAATTTAGAAACAGACAAGAGATTGATATACCTAATGGGTGTTGCTCCGTATTTCAGTCAGTCTAATGGGTGTGGACACACAGAAGGACTGGGTGCCACAAACCAGGAGAAACAAGAAAGCATTGGAAGCTGACTGTTTGTGTCAACTCATGTGTGAGAAGGAAATATACATTAACTCATTGTACCTGTAAAGCTACCATTCACGAAAAACCTGCTCATTTCCCAGTTAAAAAAAAAATCATTTTATTGGGGGGTCTTGCAGTTTATATATCCATTGTGTAAAGCACATTTGTATATATATTGCCATCATCCTTTTTATAACATTTTCTTTCTACTTGAGGCCTGGTATGAGTTCCTCATTTTTTCCCTCTTCTTCCCCCACCTTCCCACCCTCCCACGGTATCTTATACCGTCCACTGTCTCTTTTCAGCCATGTTTCTGCTGTTCATCACCTTGGGACGGGGAAGTTATATGTCAATCATTTTGATCAGTTCACTCTATCTCTGCCCACCTTCCCTCTACCCTTATGGTATCAATACTCCCATTACTGAGAGGGTTATCTGTCCTGGATTCTGTGGGTTGAGTGATCTTATCTGTACCGCTGTACAGTCTCTGGTCTAGTCTGATACGGAAAGTAGAACTGGGGCATGATAGTAGAGGGAAGAAGCATTGATGAGTTAGAGGAGTATTCTGTGTTTCATTTGTGCAATGTTACACCCTGCTTGACTTGTCTCTTACATGTGACCCTTCGTGAGGGGATTTCCAATTGTGTACAAATAGTCTTTCAGTCTCCATTCTGCCCACCTATTCCTGATTTGCATCCATATGATTGTTTGTTTTGAGTTTTCTGATGCCTGATACCTGATTCATTTTCCAGTTTTAAAATGAGGCACTTGAGATTCAGAGGGGTTGTCTGACTTGTCTAGAAACACAAAGCTAGGATGTAGCAGAGCTACATCTAATTTAGCTAATTTAGAGGATTTGGGGGCAAGTCAACAGATGACTTCTGAACAAGTCTGTGGTTTTCCATCTGGTCATCAGATGCTCTCTGCCATCACCCTGAGGCACCCTGAGACCTTGCACACCACTTAACCATACCACTGGATTGCCTGAGCTCCTTCATTTGGCATGAAGCCTAACGAAAAAAAAAAAAGACTACATCGACCTCTGTTCTGCTCTGGTTCTCTCTTTTGTCCTCCACTTGTCACAAAATTAGGATTGTAGAGCTGAAGAGGCCATATTCTGAAGCTAAAATCTCCATGTAGAGATGACTCAGTGTATTAAATAACCACCACTGTATCAACCCACAAAGTATATTTATACTTCTTAGAGTACTTGGATGATGAAATCTTAAACTAATTCAGCTAACGTAAGGTTGAAGATTTAGTCCAACCATAAGAAATGTTTGGTGATTTACTTCTGAAACTCCAACTGTCTACCCCTTTGGAGTTCAGTTCTATTCTGACACACAACTGATCACTATGTGTCAGAATGAACTTGGTGACAATGGTTGTTTTTGGTTGATATAGTTGCTGCATGTTAGTGTGGTGAAGTTCATACCTTTGGGTAAGGAGCGTCCATCAGGAAAGGTGATAGGTTTGCTGAGAACTCGGCTAATATTTGGCACTGGAGGGTAGATTCGCAGAGCCTCTTTGATGCACATGGTGGTGTAGGGCATCTGGCTTAAATGGTCCCTAAGGAGGAGAGTTCCAGCCTCAGGAGTATTCAGGTTCTGGGTAGGCCAGTGGCTTCTCCTCTAACAGGGAGGATGACCTCTCTGATCTCTTCAGCACTCACCATGTGATGGAAGAGCCATCCCCCAGGAGGCTCTGAATCTCCTCCCGGCAAGTCTGCTGGTGTTTGGGGTGCATGGCCAGGGCATAGAGGATCCAGGAGATGCCACTGGCTGTGGTGTCATGGCCTTCAAACATGAATGTGTCCACTTCGGCACGAAGGTCCTGGTCGGACAGGCTGCTCCCGTCCTCCATCTGGGGAATCCCAAGCCATGTGCAGGTTTACCCCCAGACCCTGATATGTTGGGGGAAAGCCTCAAGCCTCTCCACACTCACTTTTGCACAGAGGAGAATGTCGAGAAAATCCAAATTCTTCTTCCTTTTAATCTTTTCCAGTTCTCTCTCTTCCTGCAGATATGTCTTCCTCTGCTTGATCACTTGGTCTGTTTCATGAAAATGGTAATCATTGTAAGGTAAGAACTTGGACACAGCAGCCAGACACCCAAAGCAGCCCATCAGTCATAACTGACACTGAACTGGGTGCTGGTCTCACTGAGGTGAGCTCAGGATTAGTGTGGATTTGGCTGTGGGTCAAAGGTGAAGCTCTAACAGAAGTGGATTGTATAGGTGGACCTCTTTGCTAGCAGAGTCCATCAAATTCTGTTTGAATGTTTCCTGGGAAGCCGTTTCATCAACCATTACCAAGTATGGGGGCATATATACATCTCTCGCAAGGAATATGTCACATAATATATCACTGCTCATCCCCAACCAGAGAGCTGTACCTCCCTAGGGATGCACCAGTTCCCGAAGAAGCAATGATGGGTTTGACTACGTCGCAGGTGTCAGGCTAATTCTTTTTTGTGGGCTTTGGTGAATAAGGAGACCACCTTGGAGAAGAAACCAGCACCTGTGTGTTTGTGGGCAAGTTCACAGGCTTGGTGGTTTAAGCGGCCCTCAGGTGTCAATCTGTAGATCATGTCAGTCTGATGGAAGGCATTCCTCACACGTGAAAAAAATAGGTTGGACAGGTCTCCAACAGCCTTGATGTAGGGGTGGGTGCTCCTAAAAGAAGAAGGTGCAGATGAGACTAAAGGGGAGGGAAATCTCTGACCCTGAGTCTGAGTGGAAATCTAGGTAAAGACAGCTACAAGCAGCATGCATAACACCACAGAGCAATCTATGTCTTCTGATCTTATATCCCTTGTGGTCCCCAGCCCTTGTAAACTGGCATGAGCAATCAGGCTTTTGATTATGTAGCTGGCTTTTAGGATAGAATCTTGCTTTGCTTGGAGGTGACCATCCCAGCTGCCCCACCTGTCCATCAGGTAAGTTCCCAATCAGTTGGTAAGAACAAGGACGCTGAGCTGAAGGTTTTGCTGACCTGTTCAACTGGGCGTTGCCATGGTAGCTGAAGGCACATTTCATGATGGTGTCCAGGGTCATCAAGGAGACATGTTCAAAGAGTTCCACATGTGAGCCCTGGGTGACAAGCTCCTCCCATTTTTCCTGTGCAGAAGGGGACATTGGCTTTACACAGAGTCCCGCAGAGGTCTTCCTAATCAGGTTAGATTCTACTCTCTGTCTCTCTGGATGTCCTGTTGGGAATTTCTCAATTTCTTAAGCAGATAGTATTGTGACAAAGTAAGACTGTGAAGCAATTTTTTTGGTAAACTATGTCTATTTTTCCTTTATTTCTATTTTAATTTTATAATAATATAAATCAATATTTAAATTATAGAGTATTTTTATAGGTTACCACCACAAACCAAAAACCATTCTTTTCTGGGTTTATGAAGCAGGATGATTCTTTATTGTCCTGAGAGCTGTTGTACCAAATTTTCAGCTCTTAAACATGTGGATCTGGTAAAACCCAAAGCATCAAGCGGATTATTGCATAGAACAGATAGTAGAATTTTGATTCACTTTCATTCAGTGATTTCATTTTCTGTACTGGACCAAAATTGGGTGACAAATCAGAGTCCTCTTGAGAAGTGGTGACATGATAGGGCTTAATCAGGATAATATATAACCAGGGCCCATTTCTATGTGGAATGGCTCAAATTCACCCACAAGTTCTGCACCCAAGACCAGATGAGTGGCAAGAACACATGGAAGTGGGTGGCGAGGAGATGGGCTATGAAGAAAGCATGGATCCAAGATAGTGGTGGGATCCTCTGTCAAATCACCTACACACCCATGTGGTCAAGACCATGTGGAGTCATAGTGACAACTACTTTCCCAATAGTGCTCTGAGAATACAACTTTTGTAAGTGCCAGAGGAGTTCAGGGATTTTATTTATACTCATATGAGAATTGGACTTGTTTCGACATACTGGAAAGTCTGTGTATTGGGCTACATGTGAAAACATGTGTAGAGTGCATGCCTATGTATATTGGCTACACGTATCTAGGTGTGTCTAAATATGTGTGTTTATGTGTCAGAAGGTTTGTCCGAATCCATGCCTCATCATGAATGTGAGCACATGTGTGTGAAAGTGTGGGAATGGCAACAGAGTGAGTGATAGTGCACGTGTCTGTGTGAATGAAATGACCCTGGACTTATAAGTGTATCTAAGAGCATGACAATATGTATGTATATTAACAGGGGGAATTTTCATGCTTGTGGGTCTGTGAGTGTCATTGTGTTAACTGTGTCTGATGGATGTCCCCGGGACAGTGTGTTTGAGAGCACATCGTTAGAAGGTGTGTTGAGAGAGCATGCAGGGGTCTGTGAGTGACAGTGTGTGAGTGTGTGTGTGTGTGTGTGTGTGTGTGTAGGTACGAGAGAGAAATAGAGAGAGAGAGACCCACTCACCAGCATCACTTGGACAGAGTCAGCCGTGAGCTGCACGTAGGGCTGTAGGATGTCATAGTGGAAGGCAGGAGTCAGCATCCGTCGGTGCTGGAACCATGTCGGCCCATTCAACAGGAGCAGACCTTCTCCTGAGCCAGAGATGAACGTGTGAGTGTGTGTGTGTGTGTGTGTTTGGGGGAGATGGGATCAAGGGGCTATTGGAGACAAATTGGGGGGGAGTAAGCTGTCGTGGGAGGGAAACAGCTAAAGACATATCATTTTCAAAGTTTTAAAAAGTCACTTTAGGAATATGAATTTTCTATTTAACTAGTACATGGGATATGATTATGATAGCTCTGAGATGAAACTAGAAAATGTTAACCAGAGGGGCAGATCTTAATATTTTGAGTAAACTGAGAATGAATGTGGAAGGAGCAGAATCGTTAGAGAACTCAAACCACTGAGATGGTATGGTTAGGATATTTGAAAAGTTGAGAGATGAGGCTTGATTCACATATAGGGGTGTTGATAGTAGTGATTGGAAACCTCTTGTTCTTTGTCCAAAGAGAAGACCTGTGACTAATTTACCCGATGAGCCGAATGTAGTTATGTTTATACATACCAATCCAGGGGCTCAGGAAATTGTGTAATTCAGTAGACTTTGGATCTGAAGGGTAAGGAAGGTCATTAGAATTTGAATGAAAGGGCGGCAGACTCGTTGTACCTTCAGCAGAAACTCATAGGATTAGGGCAGAGAATTGGCTTAAAAGGCAGACAATGTCTTAAATGCCAACCAAATATGCTAGCAGCTAGCAGTTTTGCCACCCTATATCCCACAACAAGCAAAAATGAGAGCTATGAGACCCACTCCAATATGGGTAGACATTTTTTCTTTCATACATGGGACAGTGTCCATCACAGAGCAAATCAGTTTGGTGGAAAGAAGGAAGAAAAGAAAGGAGAGAGGGAAGTTGGGCAAAAGAAAAGTGAAGAGAGAGAACAAACAAGAACAGAACCAAATGGAATGGAATAAAATGGAAGAAAGGAAATGAGAAAGAATGGTGGGAGGGATACGGCAGGAATCTAATTCAAGGAAGGAAATGAAAGGAAGGGAAGAAATGGAATAAAAAAAAGGAAGAAGGAAGGAATATCAGCTACATGGTTGTTTTAAATGTCCAGCACTAGGATGTTAATATTGGGTTTTCATATAAGGGAATGATATTTAGATATTTATAGATGATCTTTTAGAAATTTAACAAAAAGCAAGGAGCTTCTCCAGCTGATCGTGAGTTTTGCCTTACCTGCTCTTCCCAGAATCACCTTTAGGTAATCAGGGTCATAGATCTGGAAGAAGACCTTGCTCCCCCACATCCAGCGAGGAAAGGCACATGGGTATTTAACTATCCATTTCAGGATCTGTTGCAGCTCTTGATCCTTTTGAAACTGTTATCAAGGGAAAGACAAACCAATGAAGTGTGGAAGAAGAGTGGGCCAGCCAAGGGCTTGGTAGTTCAATATCTGCCAGAAGAGATTAGGGGATTGGGATGGTTTCTGCTGATCTTTGATCTAGGCTTTTGATGTTGATCTAAAATTTGCCCTAATGCTGGATCTGTGTCCCTTTTTGGCTGAGATTTCAACCCTTACTCAGAACTCATTCCAGAACCTTACACATAGAGACATGTAATAAATGTTGTTCAGGAACTGACTCCACATTTTAGAATTCCTTTTCACAGATTTCCATAATGTAATGCTCAATCAGTGGTCAGTTAAGGATTATTACTTAATCCTCTTTTACAAAAGGATGAGAAACCAAATGTTATTGATAGGCCCAGTTGATATGAGTTTAAACTCAATATTTTTTTTTCTTTTAAAAATCATTTTATAAGGGGTTCATACAACTCTTACTACAATCCATCCATCCATCCATTGTGTCAAGCACATTTGTACATTTGTTGCCATAATCATTCTCAAAACATTTGCTTTCTACTTGAGCCCTTGGTATCAGGTCCTCATTCCTCCTCCCTCCCTGCCCCTTTCATGAACCTTTGATAATTTATAAATTATTATTTTGTCATATCTTACACTGTCCACCAATGTCTCCCTTCACCTACTTTTCTGTTGTACATCCCCAGGGAGGAGGTTATATGTAGATCCTTGT